ACTGGGAACGCAGCAGCAGGAGCGAGACGGACTCGCCGTTCGCCCCAACGTGTTGCTGATGTTCACCACGCAGCCTGCAGAGAACAGAGCAGAGAGAGATGATGGGCTGCAGAAGCAGCACCCAGAACACCCCAGCAAAAAGGTGCTTTGTTGGATGATGCTGGTTGGTAAAATCTGAATCTTGAAGAGATATCCAAGGAACCTTTCTCACCCGAGTCAAGCAAGGCTAAACCCTGCTCTGCTCTCTGCCAGGGATGGTATACATGCCTGCTTCTGTATTAAAAAGGACTTACAAAGTAAAGAAGACATTGCCCTCCTAATTTCTAAGTAGGAAAGTACCCAGATCTTCTGAGGCTACTAGCCGTGTGCTCTCACATCAGCGTGCCCCACTCCCGCGTCAGGCTAGAGCAGTGTTCAACCTCCCAGCTAGCAGAGCTGGGAGCTGGAAAGCACACAGCAGAGCCTGATGCCACACAAGGGTTCTGGTTCCTTCTGCAACCGTGACAGCTCCACCTAACGCTGCTACAGGCTTCTGGACCTGAGCTGGACAGCAGAGAACAGTAGAGGTTTCCCTGAACCTGGAGCAGGAGCAGCACAGCCTGCTCACCCAGCTGGCCGGTCAGGAGTACCTGGAGTGCTGCATGCCTGAGACAAACAGGGAGGAGACTTCACCTGCCACTGTCTATGGGGCAGCAAAGAACCATTGTCCCAACTCCCACCAGCAGCCCACGCCAGCCTGGCTGCAGAGCTCTGACAGCTTGTGTTGGATTATGCACGGCCTAGGGACTGTGACAGCAGCAGTCACTCCTCTGTGGGTGGCTCTGTCCTTCACCAAGACAAAATCTGTGCAGTGATGGTTTCAGATACACTTACAAACAGGCCCTTGAAATCCCACCAGCTATTTTTACAGAGAGGATTTTCACAGCCGTAGAGCAGGACATCCTTCTGCAGCTTGAAATTTCAGCTTAGAAACAAGTGGGTGGTTCTGCTCTCTCATTCCAGACCTTGGGGGGACTGTGAGAACCACTTGCTGGCTAAGCTACCTTTTGTAGTGAGATGGGGCCTGTTTAGTGGGTCCTTGCTTTCTGGGAACAGTATCTGAGCAATTGTCTCAATATAACTCCTTTCTGTCCTTACAGAACACACAGCTGTGCCAGCATTCTCCTACATGTGCTAAATAAAGTGCTTCAGAGTTCTGTTCATACATATCTCTTTTTTAAATATGAACCAAAGACCTTTAATAATACTGTTGTCTCATAGGATATCTAAAATGGCTGTTAATGACTCATTTATTCCACCAGTACCACTCTGCAATCATCTGTGAATTGAATAACATGAAGGGAGAAGATCCAGTTAGCCAAACATAAGCATTTGGTGGACTCTGGAGGCCAGGATTAGCTTGCCTGGTCTCCACTTGCTTTTTCTAAATGTAGCCTGGAGTCCAGTGTCGTATCTGCCAGCACTGCACAAAAGCCTCTGATCTCCTGGGATGTTTAAGATGGCACCTGCTGTGCAGGTGCCTGGACTGCCCCAAGAGTGGCCTGTACTATCAAATGCTTACACAGCATGTTGAATTCTGCTGTCTAGTTTGCCTGCATGCCTCAGACACCCTCCTTGGACTGCACAGGCATTTCTCAAAGCCCAGTCTGGGTCATGATTTTTACCTACATCTCTTCGCTGTGCTGCAAAAGCTTTCCCTGAGTCTTGCCGCACTGCCCAGCCTGTACCTTTAGCTCTGCGAATGAGGGGCAGGAAAGCCTTTGTCACCCACGGTGCCCCACAGGTTGACCTCTGCCACCTTCTTGTAGATGTCCAAACTTGCAAATTCCACCTCTCCGAAGGCTGAGATGCCAGCATTATTCACCAGGCCCCACAGACCTGTCAACAAGCACACGGGTAAAGAATGGGACAAGGAACAATGTCTCAAAGAAGCAGCTTTTCTTGTTGGTCAAAGTAACCCAATCCCTTGACAAAGAACTGGGCACTTTTATAGAAAAAAGTTGTAGACAAAAACTCAGCAAGGAGATATACCAGAAGTGAGGCCAGTGGAGCTTGTCTGGTGTGCCAGGGAGAGTGATGCAGTCACACAAGCGTTGCCTCCCTGGACATCTCTGCTAAGGTCAAATGCCCTCCTAAGGCTTTGTAGGGCTGGTTCTGGCTCATGCTCTTTGGCGCTTCCAGTTGGTCCCAGGTTTGTATTCATTCAGTGACATTATTATGGCTTCTGCAGTTTGGAGGGGTATGGACTTTCCCTCAATTTAAAAACAAACAAACAAAAAAGGAAGGAAAATAATGACCTTGGATTTCTAAGTCCCCTTCACAACCCTGACACACTGTTTTGGAGAATGCATGGTACTGATCTGCAGGGTCACGCCTGGTTAACAGCTCCTGTATTTCAGTTCAGGTATGTGGTTTCCCTCATTCCTAACCATAGCAGAAGACAGCAAAATTACAACCAACCCTTAAAAGTACCAGAATTTAAAAATTAACATCTTTTGTGCATGCAGTCCTGTCAAAATTAAATTGACTGCACTTACCAAAGGCTTCTGCACTGACCCTCTTACATGTCCAGGACTTGGGAGGTCACTGAGAACTTGGCCCTTCAAAGCAATTACTGCAGGAGTTCCAGTGGCAACTATTTGTAGTCCATACTTTGTGAATTTGTTGAAGCACAGAACTATGCAGCCATAAACTGCAGGAGGAACAAACAGAAGAGCTGTAACAAGGTAACAAGAGTTGTTCCTCATTAGATATCCTGCCATACAACAGGGCTATTTTTCACTAAGTACTCAGCTGGAGTTGGTGCCACTTTCCACTCCCTGACCTTCCTCTTGCCATCAATAACAAGCATAAGGCTAAGAAGGAGTCTTTGTGTCCAGGAAGCTCTGACATTGCTATCAAAAGTATCCACGTCATGCCTCCCTGTTGATATAACTTATCAAACCCGCTCTCAACATTTTTTGGGCTGCTTGCCCTGCCTTTGCTCCATAGCTTCCCTGCCCTGACGTATGAAAGTCTTTTGATAACTTCCAGCCTGTGTTTACTCACGGTCAGATAGTAACCCTGTATTGTACCAAACACAGCTCTCTAAGCAATTTGCAATATTCTACCGTTGCTCAATAAACACCAATGGAATTTATCCTCCTGATACATTTAAAAACACCAAGAGGCTCTTGCTAGACTGGCTCTGTACTCTCCCACTGGCCCTAGTAACCCTGCCCTGTTCCCAGCTAAGTTCATTTTCCCCGAAGGCTGTTGACCAGCCGTGTATAGCAGAGCAGAAGAGGTCACGTCCTGCCCGGTGATAACTGAACATTAACCACTCCCTCATGGTCTAACCCAGAAGGGATTTGCCTGTTACAGCTGCCACCATTCCCACATCTCCCAGCTCTCCCATGGTGATCCCAGCACACCTCTCTCAGGCAGTGGTGAACATTGCTCCAGCACACTCACCTGCAGCTCTATCCTCCTCCAGAACAACCCTTCCCCAATCCCTATGCAGGAGCTGTTTGGGGCAACAGCTAAATTGTGGCCTGCAGCAGAAGGCCAAGAAAACATCTTGCTCTTCTATCCTTACTTCTGGTTTTATTAACTCAAGTTCCTAAATGCTCCAGTCAGGTGGTTCTACTCCTCCTCTCCCCTGGATCCGTCGTCTGTCACTGCTGCACTTACTGAAGGTGCCAGCTTTAACGGGTCAAGGTAACTCTGAAATTCACACCTATCTGGCAGCCAGCACTGTGTCTCAGCCTGAATGGGGTTCCCTGTGCTGCTGCAAAGCAGGCTCTAATTGCCAGTGGGAGGGCCATGGGAACGGGGCGTCTGATGATGCGATTGCACCAGTCACAAGAAGCTCTGCAGAGCAAATTTGGCAGGGATTTAACGAAGACCACAAAAGACTTAAACTATCGGTCCCAAACTGACCTCTGCAGAGTACTCCTGATTCTACGTTTCTCTGCAGTGAGTTCCCATTTCTTGGGTTACAAGGTGAGCTTCAGGGAGATTCCTGAAGCCATTATGTACAATAGTTCATTCTTGGAATTTCATTGCTCACCGGTCAGGTCACACGTTCCACATGGAACAAAGCGTTGCTAGGTACCCAGTCACGGGGCTGTGTGCTGGACAGCGGGCTGTTTATTGAGCAGAGCCTTATCACTATGATTTCTTTTATGTCAACAATACAGTGGGAACTGCCTAAGACTGAAAACAAACAGGGGCACTCCTATCAAAATTAGTTTAGCCTTATGTACACAGCACAGGGAGAAGAAGTACAAATGTACAGCACAAGAACTGTTCTGTGCTGGCTCCTCTGAGGCCACACTCAGTGTGCAACAAGGACCTCTTGTGCAAGACACCTCAGCCTCTACAGCCTCTATGTTCCAGCACTTATTTTTTGAGCACTATTTATTGGCAAACCCCAAACCTCAGCCATGCTGACAGGCCTACAAAAAAGCCTATGCTATTTTGCATACTGTGCTGGGCCAAACAACTACAGGATAAGGCTCTGAAGAGCAGGAGGAACCAGTCCAACTTGCAGACCAAGGATGCAAAGCTTCTCTGTCCCTGCTACACACACAGTTTGGCAAACACTTCAGCATTTATAGAAGCAACAGAGCTGCTCCCTTACAAGCTTTCACTCAGTGGGAAATGGCTCTGTGCCACCACTGCTGTTGCTGGGCTCTTCAGGAAAAGTTTGAGAAGCTGTGAAATGTGTGATAAGGGCTGGGTGACTGTGTAGGAAGAAAAATCATGCAGAGAGAACATGTGTGGGACCAGAGCTGGTACAGAACTCGGTTACATTTCATATGCTTGTTTCAGGAGGAAAGCTGTGCTCACATAATTTGCATGAAATCAGCGCTGTTGTGATTTACTCGAACAAAGACAGGCCCCTGGCAGTCACACCCAAGCTTCAACAGGAGCAATCACCCTCCAGCTACATGACCCTTACGTCCCAGAGCCACAGATGTGAAACTTCAGTCCACCTGGGTCTACAGCTGCTGTCCACTTTGCTACTTGCAATGAGGCTGCAGAGAAACCTATGCAGGGCAAGAAGCCTCAGAACCTCACCGCGTGGGAAGAGGTTAGGTGGTGTCACACCAGGTCCCAACTGTAAGCTCACACCCCACAGCCAAACCACTTACAAGAAGGGAAGAAATATGCAGAAGACATTCCTATCTTCTTTCATATGCTCTTAGGGTCCGTGAGTTGGACTTGCACTCAAGGTGGCATGTGGATTAAGGTGGTCTTATGTCAAGCTCTCCCCGGATCCTGCCTCACATCACCTCTGGGATATTGCATGGCAAACGCAAAGTATAGAGCAACTTGGCTGAAGAATAATGCAGGTTTGGGGGCAGGTCAGTTTTGTGCACTCTGTTACACAGGCAGGTTGTACCAGCACAGCAGAGGTGACAGCAAGAAGCAACCAGGGCCTGTCACCTCTTCACTAGCAGGATCACTACAGAAAGGTCTGTGTGAGCCAGGCTGCAGCAGAAGCACCAGGAGGGGATAGGCTCCAGCCATCCTATGCCCTTTAAAGACACTCAGGGAGAAAGACATAGGCTCTTGTGGGCTTGCTGCCACTCATCACTTTTTACAAGATGTCGAGTTAGCGCCTAATCCTCCAGCCAGTCTTGGTCTTCATGTGGCTGGCATACCAACAAGACAATTCTCCTCACTGACATGGGTGCACCACTGCCTGACTGCCAGCCACGCACTGTCACAGGCTTCCAGGACTGTTAACCCTCTCTTGGTGGTGCAGAGGGGGAATGACCTGGCCAGTGCATGGCCTGCTCTGTAGGAAGGATTCTGTGAGCACAGCAAACAGCCAGCTGTCCTGGAAATACAAAGATGCCCACGTACCTTCCTCTGACTCTTTCAGGGTCCTCTTCACAAAGTCCACGGCCTGAGCCACCTCCTGGTCACTGCACACATCCATCTGTAGCACCTTCATGAGATCTGACTTCATGTTCTTCAGCTCCCTGGCTCCTTCTCCATCTTCATTCTATTCAGCAGAAATGGAAGCTGTCCCACTAAGATGGACAAGGTGCAGCTTGGGGCCAGGCATGTTCACATGGACAGAAAATACAAGCTACTGGAACTGCACACAGAAGTGTAAACCTGGTGCACAAATAAGCATGCAAGCCACACGAACCAGCACACAACCCATCTTCCTATCCCCTCCACAGCCCCTGTATCTGCACCAGTGGCCCACTGGTTCTGAAAGGCCACAAAGCCCCTCCTGTTAGCTCCTCACACAAAGGGTTTCATATCTGAAACACTGAAATACCATGCTACTGCCTCAGACTCCACGCTCTGCAGGTAACATGGCAAACACTTGTACAGAAATCAGAGTCAGATTTTCTAAGCTTAAAAGCAAAAGGCTGATTAGGCACAGTACTTGTGTCAGCCCAAAGTATTGACTGGCTTCTAATGAAATAGGATTGTCAGACCACTTTGAAAACAAGACAGCAGGGACAGCTTTGGCACGCCTAACAGCAAATAGTCTGATGCTACAGGATACAGCAGGAAGCATTTAGAGCTGAACCTATATAATATTATTAATAATAATAATTTGCTCTTACTACACATCAGAACAGGATGCACAGGAATACATGCACAGTGGAGATCTGCCACACAATGACATGATTACAGACTGAGGCACGAAAGGAGGAGGTTCTGGCTGAGGAAGCAAGAGCAAGGCTTCTTTTTCACACTACAGGTAATAAGAACATGACAGCTCTGCTTTCCTTTCCACCCTTTTTCTTTCTTTCTTTCCTCCTCCTCCTCCCCCCACTGCTATCATTAGAGATTCTGTTACTGTTGTGAGGGGGACTTTTGTTTAGTGAAACATAAATACAGCTCAAATTCCAAATTTTACCTGGTTGCTTCCAGACAGGATTGCTGCCTATGCCTTACAGCTTTGCTCAGGTGGTATGTAACAAATAAAAGTGAAAAGAGCACAGATTAGCCATGCAGTTCCACAGCAGGCTGAAGATTTAATTCACCAGACTACTCCTTGAATCACAGGCTCTGCCTCACTAGGGAGCAAGAAGTTATGAATCGTTGAGTCACCACGCCTGACTGCCACTCTTGCTTTAGCTCAATCCCAACTCCCACAGCACAGAGCAAACAAGGCGAGCAGCCCTCCCACAGTCACTGCTGAGCTGCCTCTGCAGCCAGGCTGATGTAAAAAAACTGTAACTCCTTAGTTTTTCTATACATAGCTCAGGCTATTTAACAGATATAAGTATATAACATCTCACCTCCACCTTCAGTGCAGTGAACAATGATGTGTAATGAAGGGAAAGA